GGCTTAGTTGAATTGATTGAGAAGAATCAAAATGATAACGAATGGGGTTTTGGGACTTGTGAGCATTATTATGCATGTGTGTGTGAGTAATATAGGCAGTTTTATTAGGGTTAGGTATATATAGATATAAATATGATCTCGCCATGATTCCTTTTTGTTTGTGGAAATTAGGTTTATCTAATTTATATGATAATCTGTCTTTATATTCTTTTTGTGGAATGAAAAATGGGGACAATGAGTGCCCCGAGGACTTGAGAACAATGCGGTCTCTGTCTTGTATTCACTATCAAAATCCCCATAATATAATCCATGTCTCTTTACGTGTGTGTGTGCCTATATATACATATATATGTGTGTGTGTGTGTGTGAAATTTTGCATCATTTTTTGAATGCTTTATGTGAACCCTTTACCTTTTATGAATGGCCCTTCATATATTATCCAACTTTTTATTGCAACCCCACGAGAGCATATGCCTCAGTTTTTCCACCTTCAAAAGTTGTCTTCTTTACAATCTCTCTCCCTCTCATGCCCACCAAAAGTCGAAATTAAAATTCCCTCGCTCATGACAAAAAGAGCTAGGGGACTAAATAATGAGACAAATTTTAAGACTATTTTTTTTATTATTAGTTGTCTTTACAACTAACATATATAAATAGGGTAAATTTATTATTGATTTCTCAAAACAAAGCAAACCAAAAAAAAAAGGTTACATGAGAATAAATTATTATTTAAATGTAGTCTAAATGAAAGAGGCTATGATACATATTCTCCAAGCCCTACTGTTGTGTGGGGAAAAGAAAGCTTGGCTATAAGTTTTATACATACACACTTAGGATTCCTAGCTCATTCCAATCCTCTTTTTCACTTTAAAGATCATTATAATTATGTTATACAAAATACAAATAATAATAAAGAAACTGTAGCGGGAAGGATTTTTGTTTCTTTTTAACTTTAGTGAAAAAGAAACAGATGAGAAAGGATAGAGAAATGGGATGAAAAGGGTCTCTATGAATGAATTTTCAACGTTTGAGACAAAAAAAAAAAAGCAACTCAGGCTCCTGTAGGTCCCCTCACATGTCAGTCTCTCATGCCTATGTGGATGACATGTTAATTACTATATAAGCATATGGTCATATTCTTCTTCTTCTCATAATAATAAGTAAACTATTACAGGTCTAGAAAGTCATCATCAAACTAACCGAACTTTCATATATAGTTTATCTATGAACATGAATATAATGTTGATTGGGATTTCATGTGTAACTTTTTTGAAATGCCATATATCGGATCTGCGATGGATCTATGTAGCCCGAAAGGGCTCCTAAAACCCATTAGCTCTCGTCTGCTTGTTGCCATAAATCAATAAATATATTAAAAATATTTTATCATGCATTTGGAACATAAAAATAAAAGGATCGTGATCACGAGAGAGACATTTTCTTCCGACAACAATATAAATATATATATATATATATATGCATATTATTTTCACCAGTCCATAATATTAATATATATGGATTATATAAAGACGTTTTAAAAAAAAACATACCTTTTCAATCCAAAATCTAAACAATTTCTGTCAACTGATCTTTATTCAAAATATAAGTAATTAATACATGTAAAAAAAAATTATTCATTTTACCCCTTGTAAATTAACCCAAGTTTTGTGTTAAATATATTCCTTACCCATCACGGAGTGCTTTGGTAACTAGGACTGGAGGTAAAAAGAAAAAAATGTTATATTTTTACAAGAATGAGACTTTATTGATATACAAATTTTTTCTAAAAGCTACTTATATTTTGAATCAGGAGGGAGTAGATCTTTCATTCATACCTTGTATACAAGTTAAGAAATTAGTTGTGAATAAAGAAAAAATTAAAAAATAAGTAAATTTTTTGTGAGATTTAGAAAATAATTGAATTTTTTAATTTTCATGGTGCATGTTCAAATGTCCTGTATATGGATTGGAAAAAGCCAAGAGGAACTGCATGTATACATACCCTAGTTCTATGTATAAAAAATAGTTGGTTAAAGTACTTTATGTAAATATCATTTATTATTATTTTTTCATTTTTATGAGTTCAGTAAAATGGTATTATGAGAAAGAAATTTTGTTTAAGATGATGCGTTTTTTAAATATAATAAGGGTAAATTAGGAAGTTTATTCTTTTTCAAAAGACATTCTTAACTTTTTAATAATTTAATTATATCCCTTTGATTCTGATGAGTTAATTAAAAAGTAACTTATATATAGATCGAATAGAATATATTAATTATAGGTTGTGTTGGAGCTGGGTTGAGGACGTTGACCTGTGTTGTGCGCCAACTAACGTTTGTTAAATAAAGCGAATACACTAGTATTGTACTGTATTGCATTGCATTTACACGTGCATTGCTCTTTAGTGAAAAGGTTTTAATAAGAAGCCATAATTAATATGCTAAGTTTGGGACATAAAAATTAATTTTAAAATGGAAGTATTGTTTTCCCTGTCCCGGTGCTTGTCATACTATCTATCACTTTATAAAGAACAAGAAATTAAAAGCAAATTGATTAATAATGTCCAAGATATTTTATTTTTATCTCAGGCGAAATAATTAATCTCAAGAAGTGGCTAATAATTAATAACATATTAAGATGGATGAGTATACATTATTCGATGTAGAAGTGTAGATGATATGGCCAACAAGAGCCTTCAAATATTTTTCCTTCAAATGTGATCATTGGAAGAAGATGACGGAGTTAAATAATTAGCATAAATAATTATCACTTAATCCAAATTTAAATGGTTCCCACCAAATTATTAAATAGTATAATTAAGAAACGCCAATCAATATTATTGCAGTAATTGAAAATGGGGGAGCCGCCGCTCCTACCTTCTAATTAATTGGCATTTGGCATTTGGCATGCGTTAAATAATTTCATTCTGTATGGATTATTAGGGGAATGACATCCAATCCACATTGATTTGATTTGAAAAACGAGAGACTTTTTTTAAGAGAAGATATTATTAACTGTTGACATAGTAGTAGATATGTAAATTAGTTAAAGTATTACTATATGCATTTGTCTCAATTTATAAGGTATTTTTTAAAAAAATTAACATTTTAAAATATAAAACACTATGATAAAAATAAAATTTCATTAATAATACTTTTTTAATATTACTCTTCTCATTATATCATCTTTCTCTTTAATATTTTTTACAAATGGAGTATTAAATGAAGTGTATTTAAAAAAATATTTTATATTGAAAAAAAGTTATAAAATATATTTAATAAATTTTATTGATACATGAGATATTCTTTAAAATTGTATTATAATTTAAAAAGGAGGAAGTATTATACTCCATCAACATGTTTATTTATATTAATTAGTTAATTTGGGATCATTATCATTTGCAGACCCCTGTACTTGAGAAATTTTGATCTCAGTAGCGAATGGCAATGTGAATATGAGGGATGTACGATAAGATCAATATGATGATGATGATGACGACGACTTTTAGCTTGTTGTTAATGTCAATTAATTACTCCCTTTTTTTTCTTTATTGTTCAACAACGACGTGTTATGCGCTCCAAAAAGGGGAGAGAAAGAGAAAATAATTATTGGAATCAATTAATGAAAAAGGAAACCTAGTGCGTGCAACAAATCAATAACCAGGTTGTGGACTCACTGTGGTCACACACACACACAGACAGAGAGAGAGAGAGACAGAGAGAGATCAGAGCACTACATATGTTTCGCCCTTGATCCATGGCATAATCAGTGATGCTGAGCGAACAAGCTAGCCTCCAATAGCAATGAGTTCATAAATACACAATTAGCTAATCGATGTGTACAGATTATAGTGATCAAAATAGGGCTACGGTTTAGATAGAAGCCAATTTGACCAGCATGATAAAAAAGACGACAATGAGACTGATATAGAATTATTGCATGACAGGTACACATGCCTAACATGCACATAGCTTTAGCTCTCTACTCTTTTCTTCTTCAAAGACGCCATGCTGATCATATCATGATGATGAATACTTACATATATATAAATGCATGCAAGTGTTAATTACTGCTTGCAATTATGCAATTGATGAGAAAAAATGATGTCGGGGATCTGGGCGGCTATATGACAAGCTCTTTGCCTTGGGTTGAGTCGCTTCTATCTATCTTTGCAGAAAATTGTGTTAAAAGTTACCTTTTCAACATGTCTTGCTCATCTCTTTTGCTTTTTTCACTATTGCCAACTTTAATTTGTACTATACTCCCAAACTGCTAGCTACTGGTTCATCGCATAACCTAACTTTCAAAAGTGATACATGACTCCTTCCTACCGGTTCATAAGTTAGCTAGCTCAGCTTGCTTATAGTCATGCCCCACTTCCTTATTGTTATTGCAAGTTTCTTTTCAGAATAAAAGAAAAAACAAGGGAATTAAAGTAGTAAAGCATTAGGTGTAATATGGAGGATATAATGAATCTGAACAGTATAGGCTATATAAATACAAAAACCTGTAGATTCAAACATCCGTACTGTTCCACGGGTATCATAATTCATACCAAAAACAAATGGTCCAGAAATGCAGAGATATTATTATATGTTAGCTGAGTAAAAGACATGAAGGTATAAGGCAAGGACTATAGCTAGCTAGCGGCCTAGTGTGTGACATTTCACTTGTGGGGTTAATAGGATGAAACCAGGAAAGAACAGCCTGGAGATGATGACGTGTCGAACAGGGAATGGCTAATTGAGAGGTCCTGGTCAATGAGCGGGAATGGTCTTTTAGTGAAAAGCGGGACAAAACATTCAATTAATTTGATTCAGTGCTAATGCCTCACACACACTAAATTCCAGAGTGGGTCTCACTGTTTTTTTATTTCTATTCAGTAATAGGAACAAACTGCATCACTACAAATGTCAATCACGTGTCGTGCATAGTGACGACTGAGCACAGCCAGAGTGGGAGAAAGCTAGCAAAAGAGAAGTGAGTGACATACACATACATGAAGTAAATATTCTATATATGAATTATGTGAGTAAATTATTATTAATTAATTAAATACATACACAGCACACATGAAAAGGCCCCAAAGACCAATTCAATTTTTTGTTTCAGCCAATTAGGCTATGAGAAAAGAGGGCTCTCTCTATCTGCCCTCTCTGGAAAAACAAATAAAAAAATGCCAAAAATTAAACCTGTAGAGGCGTGTTTCTCCATCACAAGCTCAGACGCGGGACGCCACACAATGGAGTCCTGTAGGTATAGTTAGGCTGAAGCTCTCGAAGCCCCCCCAAAAAAAAGGAACAAAAAAGAAGAAGAAAGCCATATTTCTCCTCCGTGAAATTTAATTTAAAAAAAAAAACAAGAAGAAGACAATATCACGCAAGCACAGGTGCATGCCACGTACGCACCTAGAGCGTCTGGAACTCTGCATAGATAAGGCAACAGAAAGAGAAGTCCACAAAATGAAGAGAGAGGAGCATCCTTTTTGCATTTTTGATGTTGAACTTTGGGGTATTCCATATCAAAGAAACGCGCATGTTGAAGTTGAAGGCTATAATGCTGGCTGGCCAGGATGAGAAGCTTGACTTGTGTAGATATGATATATTTTTGGCCAATAACAGCTCAAACTTCAAAGTTACAATCTCCCATGTTTTGCCAACCCCATTGATCTTTTTAAGCTCTCTCTGCTTTTTCTTCAAAGGCTCTCTAGAGCACTGCCCCACCAAGCCCCTTCCCTTTCACCAAAAATCAATGCCACCTTTGAATTCAATCATCAATCCCCACGCTCCTTTCATGTTCATTCCACACTTACATGACCAAACCATTAAGTGCATATCTCTACCTCTCTGTGAGTCACAGATCCCACCCCCTTGGGAAACTGCAAAGCCATTAATGAATGGCCATACCCACCAAAAAGAAAGATAATAAAAAAACTTTTCAAACTCACCAAACTCTGATACATACAAGATATGTATATATACTATAATCTACACCATTACTTTAGTCAATTTTTAATCTCAAAACCCTCTCTAAAAAAATGCTGAGGTTTCTAGGCAACATGGACCACCATAATTTTTCTACCCATCCTTATTCTTCCTGTCTCATCTTATTCACTGGGAGTTTCCTTTGTCATCATCCACCCACAAGCAGTTATTTATTTTCCTCCTTTTACAAGGCGACGAGGAAGAGGAGGAAGACGATGAAGCAGACAATGATAAAATACTGGAACTCACTCTGGGTTGAATCGTTACTCGCAACTGTGGTAAGACTTTAGGGACCTTCCTCCTGTTATTGTCAATCACAAGTTCTTGGATCAACTGGTAGCAACCTGTGATTTTCTCCTGCATCGATCAGATACATTTGTGGCATCTTTAATTTCCTTGAATCATACGCAGGACGAAGATATTTTACAAAAGAAAAAAAATGCTTTATATTATTGCGTACTTACTTTTATCAGTCCCTCACACCATGACTCAGCATGCTCAGGCTTAACAAGAGACCAATTAGGAATTTCATTAGCAGCACAAAGTATGGCCGCGACAGCAATACATGATGGCCGATAGGCAAGAAAGCTAGCCTCTGGACAAAAAGTACCCAAAAGAAAAGGCACAATTCAAAATGCTTTTATTCAGATAAAGGCTTCAAAACCTTCGTTTCTTGGTGCATAGGAGAAAAGTAATACCTATACTTTATATACCTTGGATATTAGATAAGATTATTTCTGTAGCCCGCGAGATGAGCAAGCCAGTAAAAGTTCCCGTTGGATCGAGTTTGCAAGCAAAGAAATCGATGAAACTGAATGGTGTGATTGATCGTAGCCTCCAATCCAAAACACTCAGAACAAGTAGTTCCATCCGACGAATTGTTCTTGGCTCAAATATATATTTGGCACCTTCTACCTGTACATATAATGCTATATATGTCAGCCTATGAAGGTTTATAATCCGATTGAAACCAGGACTATACGGATAGGAAGCTTTTAATTTACCTGAAAACCCAAAAGGGACGGAACTAAAGGTTCCTCCATTTTTGCAGCTAATGACAAACAAGCAACAGATAAAAGTTGCATCGGCCACCCATCCGTTAGCTGAAAGCATGTTTCAAATCGAAAGTAAATTAAAAAGGGTAATTATCATCATGAGTATATAATTATCTTGGGGCGGATTCTACTTACATATGTTAAAGAATTAAGTATACCACCACATTTGCTAGTATTGGATATAACTTTCAAATGTTTATTAGTAAACTTTAGTTAATTAATATGACGACAATCAATATTTGATTCAAAATTTGAGAGGCTAATGGAATAGTAATTCTTTTTTTTTTTTTTTTGCTGTTTGGCCAACCAAAAGAGGAGGAAAATGCTGGAATTTCTTTGGCTTAATAATTAGCATGTATGACTTGTAATTGTACATAGCCAATGAGACACTATTGAGGGTACCTCTAAAATAATTTATTATTATAAATTTTAAAAATTTTGATAAAGAAAAAGTTATTTATACATTATTATTTTTAGTTTTATAATTTTTATTTTAGTATAAATTTTTAATATTAGCTTTCATTAATATTAAGTCAAATATTACGTGTATGACATAAATTATCAATTATCAATTAATTAATGAAAGTTAGATTTTTCTCTGTGTATAATTTATAGTGAGTGAAAGCTCAAAGGTTTATTTTAATAAAATAAAGTTTATCACAGCAACGCGCTATCGATCATTTACGTTTGAAATGTCAAAATCAGTACCGCATAGAACTTTTCCGCGCTCATGGCCTCACAGTAATCACGAAATTCCTTAGAAGAAAATAGAAATTAACAAAAATGGAAAGCTCACAGGCAACTGCCGAGAATCCAAAAACCGGTCCAAATAGTTGACGGCAAGATACACAGTCAACGGCTGAAAGCCATAGTATGCTTGCACCTGCAAAACAGTAATCGCCAAGTCATCATCAATTAATTAGTAATTAATTAATTAAGTTAATTAATATGAATGAAAAAATCGACGGTGTTCAATTCGCCAGAGTCGGTGGCGAAACGGTGAGACATGGAAGAGCTCATAGGCGGCTTAGATCTAGAGATTGAAATTGCTTCTAGGTAGGAGACGGCTACCGCCGGTGCATTTTCGCGTGATCCATTTCGAAAGTTCGTTAGCCGTCAGCAAAAATGCCACGGTGGCATAGCCGTAATATCACTCAAGATCAGTGTCTAATCATAACAAGAGGTATTGAAAAATGCTTTTTACCTTGAGAATCCATGCAACGGATTCTTCTCTGGCGGAGGCGTCGGGCGAGTGAGATTGAAATCTGGAGAAGTAGTCAAATCCAGGGACGAAGTTGCGCTCCTCTTCGATGAATTCGGCTATCGACTCCTCCAGCAATACTGGCGATGGCGAGGAATCAAGGTCGGAAGAGCATTCCGGCGACTCTCCGGACAAGATTCCAGATGTACCCTCGCAGCAAAGAAGGTCAGAGTCGCGGAAGTAGCTATCGGAGCAGGAAACCGACATGATGATCGGCGCCGGTAGTTCCTCATTCTCTTTCCATTGCTCCAGTTTAACGGTTTGCAGAAACTGATCGGAAGGGTCGCCGGAATGCTGATTTCTCTAGAGAGAGAGAGAGGGAGGGAGGGAGGGAGGGAGGTAGTGGGAGCGTGGGAGATGAAGTATTGAAGCAGCTTGAAATGAAACTCCCTATCAGTTATGTCTGAATATAAATACGCGGTGCTTGCCTGAAATTTTTATTTTTATTTTCTTTTGGATGAAATGATGAGAGATATTTTGAGTGCATGTAAAATCTCCTTTTTCGGACAAAAATGTTAAAATGTTTATATCTGTCAGCTACAGTAGTTTTTAAAATTCGACGAACAATGTTTATCAAGCAAAAATTTACGAACAATTAAAAAAGAAGCTTTTGACATTTTTCCCAAAAAAAGAAAATAAAAAGCTTTTAAGTGGAATATATATATTAAAAAAAATGCCCCAAGGTTGGTTGGATTAAAAGTTGGGGAGATTTTTAATTTGGTAAGCTACATAAACAACCTTGGCAAAGTTCCGTGTGGCGCCACGTGGTTGGAATTAGGTGAAAAAGAATTTTGTTTGATTGCATAAATGAACTATAAAATCACAAATTTATCATTAATTGTCATGGAATTTTCATTAGATAATTTACTTTTTTGCCAGCACATTAGATAATTTGCTAAATTTTTAAGGAGTATTTTTAATTTTATAGCAATATATAGCATGCACTGTACTCTACGTGAATTCTAATTAATGTAATCAGTCTCTTAATAATTCCTTTATTTATTCACATGTTTAATGGAGTAAAATTTGACTCGATTATTAATTGCTCATTTCCTTGTTTATTAAAGCAATAAATTTTTTTTTTTTGGCCTGCTAGATGAAGTAATTACTAGTCTTTATCTTTGTCTTTCGTACATGACATTCCGGGGGGAATTAAACTTCCCTTTTTTTTTTACTTTTAATTTCCTGCTTTACTTAAAAAAAATTGCCTTCTGCAAAATTCTGCCTGCTAATGTGTTAAAATGATATTTTTTAACAAAATTATCCTTTTTAAAAAATTCATGAAATTGTATTAAAATTTCGTGGTTGATTATGCTTTCTTTATTATAGTTATTCATATCCTGAGAATAAAAATATAGCTATTTTTAAGGGAAAAACTTATAAACTTAATTTTATATATTTGAGATGATTTTTTTAATGAAATCAAGACATGAGAAATTTTTCTATATTATTTATTTCATAACAAATTATTGTTATTACTATTATTAACATATTTACTTGTTTTGATTTGATTCGAGAAACACAAATTAAGTAAATAAGAATAAATAACCGAATCTTTCCCTTGTTTTTATATATTGGGAGCAATTGAACCCTTGTCCCCTATGTCCTTATTAATTGCACTTACCAATGATTAAAAAATCTGATCGAATTAGATGATTGGACTGTTGATCGATTAAGCTAACAACTCGATTAAATTGAAAAAATCGTTCAAGAAGTTAGATCAAATTGGACTGCTTTGGACTGGCGGTCAGATTGAGAGCCAGATTTAGTTTTCAAAAACCACACTATTAAAAAAATTGCCCTTTTTATTTTTTTATCAATTTTATTTAAGAAAATGATTAATTTTTTTAATCATTTGATGTTATGTTGTATTATGTGGCGTGTTAAGTCATGATAAAATTAAACTATTTAGTTTTATTTTTAAATTAAGCAACAATTTCATATTTATTTCTTTTATTTAGTTTATTATATACATATATAATTTTTTTAATTTAATTATTATGTCACCTGTTTAATCATTAGTCTAACCCAATTAGACCATATGAATTATGAATCACTAATTTTTTTTAATTTAATGTTCGGTCTAGTTTTGAAAATGTTAGCTCTTACAGCTTGAGCTAGCCACAAGTGAAGACATGGTTATTTTTTATTGTTAAAATTATTTTGTAATTATCTATATGATTCTTTTTCACACCTCCAACATATATTATTACTTTTAAAAAACTATTTTTATGAATATTTATAAAATTATTATAAAACAACAATCCACATATATACTATTATTGTCTATAAAAATAAGTATATTAACATATTTATACACACACACATTATTGTTAAATTTTTGAATTGATTCTTCAAGTTTATTATTTTTACATTTCTAACTTACAAAATTATATTGACTTGCTTATAAATTCGAACTAGAGAACATTCAGTTAAACTTGCAAGTTAACATTTCAATTTTACCATTTTTATATTTTTTATTTATAAAATTGTTCAAATTTACTCATAAATTCATTGAGCAACATATGCTAAATTCACAGAAATGGTAGGACTCAGTTCAATGAAAAATAAAACTAAAAAACAAAAACTAGTAAAAAAAGAAAATAAAAAAATACCAAAAAAAGTTGCTCTATTTTGAAATTGCTGTGCTGAGTATAATAATTTATAAGTGCAGATAGATTTAATTTCAATGGCATATATTTAAATTATATTTAAATTAAATTATTATCATATTTTATATTTTGATTATTTAATCATATACTTTTAAATACTATTTATTAATAGAGGTAAACTCTTACAAATTTATAATCTGAATCTATGTTTTGAGTTTTTACTTTTGTTATAAATTTACTTAAATTTTTGAGTTTAACAAGCTTGTATATATACACTCTTTCTTTCTATAAAATTAGCAAATTAATATTTACTCAATATTTCAATTCTATTAGCTTTTATGATTTATTAGATTTGAGGGGAATTGAGAAATGGTCAAAGAAGGGAAGATTTTAATATGTTTGATTAAGAAAAATGAAGAAGTGGATGGAGTTAAAGATTTTTAATTGATTTTCTTTATTCTTTCCTCTAATTTCTTTTCTCTACTAATTAAATTTTATAGCCCACATTTTTTATTTTCAAAATAAAATATTAAAACTTTTCATTCCCTTCCATCCCTCCATTCCTTTCGAATCAAACCTTTTTACCCTTAATGCTTGATGTTAGATGTAAAATCTAGTTATTATTACTAACCTAAAAAGCTTACTAGTTAATTAATGAGAATGTGCCAAAAGAATTTCTTTAATTATTTTTTAAATCAAATCAATGCTGATTAGACATTAGTTTTTTTTCTTCCAATGATTCAATATTTGTAGTCATTACAAATTTATAATTTACATTTGAGTATTTGACATTTTTGAGTGGGAAATTAAAATAATTTTACTGACATTTGACATGTCCACCTTTTGAATGTAAAGAAGAACAAGTTGATTGCCTTAAATAAGGGACAGTGGAAAATTAACATGATTGTTTTTAGAAAAATAAATTTCAATATTTATTGTATATTGTACTGATTAAAGAGAGCTTCGTCAACATTAATCATTTCAGTCTATTTTTTTTAATATAATTTTGCATTCATACTTAGATTATATTCAGAGAAAATATAAATAATATAAACGCTCCGAAAGCATGCACAACAATTTTTGGTCCGTTGAATCATGTGAGTTCTGCATTCAATCACTCAACATACACGTTTTTTCCCCAAAGGACAATGGCCTTATTTTTTATTAATATTCGAATTCAAATTTTTAAAGCTGCAAAAAAAAAATCAAATTTCAAAGGTCACATGCTTCAGAAAAATTTCAAAGGCCAAATGGAATCAATTTACACGGAACTTAGCTGGATGCAGCTCTTCATTTATTTTTTCTTTTTCCCCTTAGGTTTTTTATTTTTTATTTGCCGAAAAGGTTAGGATTTTGGAGAATTACAGTTAAGTTTTGAAGGAGAGAATTAATAATAGTTAGATTTTCCATAATTTTTTAAAAATAATTTATGAATATCAATTCAAAAAGTTATAAATTTAGAAATTTTAATTACAAATAAAATATTTAAATCCTAAAAATAATTCTCATTTTATAATTTTTATGTTTAATCGATATTTACAATTTTTTTAAAAAAAATTTATTAAAGACATATCGGTCATAAATTTCCTCATCAAAGACTTTATTGTCAGTGCTCCTTAGGATTTTTATTTAAATAAAATAAAGCTACAATTACTAATTTTTTATTGAAAATATGATCATAAAAATACAAATTTATATTAAAAATATAATCTACCCCAATCTTTTTAATAAAATTAAAAAAGAGATAAATATATCATGCTTTGTTTTTTTGGAAGAACTCCAATAAAGGACGCTCGTAGAGGTTTAATTTCAAAAGAGAACCAATAGAATATGAAAGTACACTTATATTGCAACCTGCAAGACCAAAGAATTAAAAATATGTTGTTGATAGAAAATAATAAAAATATCCTTCATTTTTTAAAATGTGAAGTGAATTTGTTTGAATCCTAACTTAATTTATCATTTTTTATTAATTCACTAATATAATTTGTTTCCAATGCCTTCTACATGCTTAATTTGTTAAAATTTGAGGTGGACTTGGTAACGTTTTAACATGATTTATTATTTCACTTATACGTACTTAAGAATTCAGTAGCAAAATTGGTGAATAATATTTTTTACATATTTATTAATTATTAATTAACTAAATTGATAAAAATTAAATTTGTTAATGAATTCAATGATTAAAATAAATTTGAGAAGACAAAAATTTTATTATTCTTTAAATTAAATGAAGGAGAGGTGGATTTTTTTTTTTTGAATTATTCCTGGGACTGATGTAAAGCTATTCGCCAATACAATGAGGCGGTTGCCTTTTAGCGGGACCCATTTGAATAATCAATCATCCTTAAGATCTCAACACGTTTTCACGTTTATTGCGCTCACAAACAGTACTTCCGATGTTTAATATCGAAAGGATTATCTTTAATAAACACTAGTGTTTCACCCGTGCAATGCACGGGTCCTCTTATAAGAATTATAATAATTTTTAATTTAACTTGTATTATTAAATGAGTTATTTAAATAAAGTTATAATAAGAAATATATTTTAAAATAATTAAAATATATGATGGTATTGCAATAATAAAAAAATTGCAATATAAATGAATTCAAAATGTGATGAATCAAGATTCAAATTCCTATTGAGAGAAGTGATTATATTTAGTTTTTGACCATACTTAAAATTGGAATTACATCAGTACTCAATCAACACATATACACATGCATTTATTTAAATATACATGTAGAAAACATTTTCTAAATATAATAGATGTGAGTGTACTACAAAAGATATAGGCATGAAATCATAACATACACAAATGAAATACATCTAATATAATATGCAATATATCTAACAGGAATAAATGTTCAACAATTCATTTAAACATGAGGTAATATATATATATATATATATGTATATATAGGAGGGAGGTAAATGAAGGTGTGCTTTTTTTCATCAATGAGTTGTTCAATCATAGATAATAAAATCCATGTAATACCTGAACACAGCTCTAGCCATAAATACCAGCAAAACTTGGTAAAATATTCCTGAAACAAATGATGAAATTTTATGTGGATGTTAAATATAAGGAAGAATATGAATAAAAGAACATAATTGGCAAGTTAATTTTGAATATTTGAAAAGGAACAATTAGCAAATATAAGAAAACGTACTATAAAATAATTATATATAAAGTTTTATGATATATTATTTAACGATGAGTCACTAATAGATGATAGATAAGAGGCAAGGTTTATATCGAGCATGTACCTTATATATGAATCTATGTCAAACCATTAAAGATTTCTTTATAAACAACATTGTTGGTTTTGTTTGTTGGTTTACCCTCTTCATCTAGAATTAAAATCTTCAAGCCACATCTGCTACGGACTCGAGATATAGCAACGTACAACTGACCATGTGTAAATACAGGTCGTGGGAGGTACAATCCAACATTTGTGAGACTCTGTCCTTGGCTTTTATTAATCGTCATTGCAAAGGACAACATAATAGGGAATTGGCGTCTGCATATTGTGAAAGGTAAACTTGTATCTGATGGAGTAATAGTCATTCGAGGAATTAAAACTTTTTGACCTTTTGAGATTCCTGTCATGATCTCAGCTTCAATGACATGTCTGACAAGTTTACTGACAATTAATCGAGTGCCGTTACAAAGACCAATAGATTTGTCGATATTTCGCATAAGCATAATAGGAGCCCCTACTTTAAGCTTGATTTCATGGTTAGGTAGTCCTGACATTGTTAATGAATTCAAGAATTCTGGCAAGTGAATATCTTGTAAAGCACCTCCTATTTCATCTTGTTTAGAAACTGTGTCTGTGCTTAAGTAGCAAACTTCATCACCAGGGAGCATGGATAAAACATATTCATTGACTTCATCAACAATTGCTAATGTTGGAGCTAAGATAGCATGCTCCTGGAAATAACATGCACTATGTATATTCTATAGCAGTTCTGGATAAGTGGAATCAATAATACACCTAAGAGGATCTTGAGTAGGGTTTAACAATAACTCATCTGGAATTGTAATTTCTTCTGCTTCTTTATGGTTGTTGTCAACTTTTCCATCACCAATTGAGATAATCCAGTTTGCAAATTCTTGAACTCTCATTGCATCTTTAGATGTTGCATTAGTCAATAGTCTCATATTTTTAGTCAATGTAAAAACCTTACAATCTTTCCATAAATATGAAGAAGTGATTGCAGCAAATACAATATCCTCTCTACTACCTTTTCGCACAACTGGAAGAATTTGTCGAAAGTCACCACCAAGCAAAATAACTTTGCCACCAAAGGGCCTTAACGCAGCATCTACTTGTTGAACTTTCATGATATCTCTCAGAGACTTATCAAGAGCCTCAAAACAAAATTTATTGGCCATGGGTGCTTCATCCCATATTATTAGGGAAGTGTTGATAAGCAGTTCACTAAGATGACTACCATGTTTTATATTACAAATTGAATCTTCATTAACTGCAATTGGAATGCGAAATTGAGAATGAGCAGTTTTACCTCCTGGCAATAATAATGAGGCAATACCACTTGAAGCTACGTTCAAAACAATCTTTCCCTCAGAACGTAAGGAGGTGCTCAATGTATTCCATAAATATGTTTTTCCAGTTCCACCATGGCCATAAACAAAGTACATGCCACCATTATTACTTTTGACTGTAGATAACACTTGGTCATATATTTTCTTCTGTTCAGGAGTCAAATTGTTCAACAAACAAATTAATTCTGATGATAATAATTTTTTGTCATAGCTCAACTCCATACGTATAAGTTTGTTGCTCCTTAATTCCATAACAGATGACTGTGGCAAAGGCATAGAACCAAACTCAGATAATGTCCTTGCATTTACATTCAAGAGCTTCTCAATCTCAAGCAAGGTTAAATTTTGCAACTCCTCATCAGATAACTGAAAACCTAATGGACTTAAATAGTTAGAAGTATGTAAAATGTTGTATTTTTAATAGCATTTCATAAAGTAAAATTAAAGACAAAGAAATATGAATTGTAAAGATAAGATACAGGTAATAATATGTACACATTTACCTTGGTGTCCTGTTATTTGTCTCTGTTGATACAATATGTCATCAGACAATGGTTTCCAAATTTGTCTCCATATAAACTCTGGACGTGATAAACAGTTACAGGCTAATAAGGTCGAAAACAACCGTCTCAGATAGTTGGCTGAGGCCCATTGAGCTGCTTCAAGTATCCCATCAGTATACTCTTTATCATCATCTAACAATCCTAAAGCATAACATGCATCTCTGAATGAATTATGGTAGATACCATTCACTGTACGAAGGGATTTGTAAGAGGTTGGGCCTTTAATGGTTGCAAGAAGCATGCGCAAGTAGTATGACTCACCACTGCCTGGTGGTGTGTAATACATCCTTCCGATGGAAAATCCTTTTTTTTCTTGGTGTCCATTCACAAGTATCTTTGTGATATGTAAATTTCATAGGGAACTCTGAGTAAGTTAAACCTTTGGCATTTTCATATTTAGCATTAGCAATGAACCAAGCTTCAAACATAGTCGGTTTCCCATTATTTCTAGACATAACATGTTGAAGATCTTCATTCTCCTCAAATACCACCATTTGATGATTAGGCAAGTGAAATGATAGTCTTTCAACAGAGGGATTTCTATAATTAATATCGAACCCTAAGATCCTCCAAACTGATTCACATGACGAAACATATCGACAATCAAAAAACATTTTGATCTCATCACGAACCAAACCCTCACTTACATCATCTGCTTGAGTATAGAATGCAGCAGTAACTCGATCATAACCTTTATTAACATATTTAAAAAGATACTTAATGGAGTCTCCTTGATTACATCTTTCAACATTAATGTGAGCTCCATATTTTAGTAAAAGAGTTGCGTTATAGGGGATAACATATCTGTTATCCAATGGGATCCCATTCTTCATGACATGTACACCATTATCTTCCCTTTTATACCTTGGATATCCATCTTCATGGATCACTGTTGTAGAGTTAAAGTTTTTTGGGAATTGCTTAGTACATATTCCTTTGTCCATACATGGAGAATGAGGATTAGCTATTCCACATGGCCCATGTAACATATAATTCACCACTACATCATGTAACTCAGGTTGTGCTTCTTTATTAGGGATTTCTGCTGAAATGATGTTGTCAATATCTTTAGCAGTAGATAACTTATCTTTATTTGCAAGGAAAACCAAAATATGAGCATGGGGAAGACCTCGCTTTTGAAATTCAATTGTATATAGAACTGTAACATAAAAACATGAAAACAAATATTAGAAAGAAATAGAAATAAACCATGCATATTACAAATGCATATGTAAACTAAATAAGAGTAGTAAAAGGAGCTTATTAATGTAGTTTGAGTAATACCTGCTTTGACACTTCCAAAAATTTCCTCTTTTCTAATATCTTTGATAAGCAAGTCTAGCTTCATTTTAAATATACGTGTGACAATGTCAGGACGATCTTCTATACGAAGTTGACGAGCTTCCAAAAATCTAGTCATTTCAGGCCATTTTGGATTAGCTGTAAAAGTTATGAACAAATCTGGAAACCCAGCCCATCTACAAATAGCCATTGCATCTTGGTAGTTTTGCATTGTATAACGGGCACCACCAGTGAAAGAAGATGGAAGGATTACTCGTTTCCCTACAAATGAAGCCTGAGTATCACCTCTAAAAACTGCATCTGCTAAACCATTATAAACCTCTGCTCGTAGTTTTTTTTGGTTCATCCTGATATATCTCAATCTATATGACTCAATCATGGTATATGCATCGACCAAATATTGTTGATATAATTTACGGCCATATAAAAGTAGTGATCCATCCAATGCTCGATCTTGGATATTGTAAGCAAAATATTCCCGAAGTGACACAGTTCCACTCTCACCTTTCATCTTTCGTTGCGTCTTCTTATGTGGAATACCTTCAGTATAGCCTCCATCTCCATATGGAAATAATAGAGGGTATTGCATTGGCAAATATGATTGGTGTGTCTCAGAAATTCGCTCAAGCAAACCACTTCTATATTGAATAATAATATCTCTTCCAAGTTCAGTTGATCCAATGTCTCCCACAACCAAGGCTGCTATTTCGTTAAGTGATGTTGGCAAATTATATGTATGAGCATTTTTACCACCCTTATGAATGAGTCGAATCTTAACTTCCTGACCTTGATGATTCCCCATAAAATCTCGAGCAAGTCTATAAGTTTTAACTAATTCATTGTGATTGTCCAATATTTTTTGCAATTGTTGGACAATAGAAGGCCGCAAAGATTTTTTTGTGTCTTGGCCACTATATTACAAAAGACAAAAAAATTAGAATCAAAATTTGGTTATATATAGTTATAAAAGCAATCAAAACTGAAAAGTGTAGATTTGTTGTCTCGTTGGAAGTGTCATGTATATATAACTGAGAAAATTTAGGGGGTGCTCCTTCAACAGGTAAAACACTGCCTATCATATGCATGTTTTGGCCATTAATACAATACACATAAGGACCACGACCATTGTTTACTCTTTTATCAACTTTTCCGCCCATGGACGTGAATGCAAACATCATGTTGTATGCTCTAATATTATCAAGAAAATTCTTACTATCATCATCTATGGAGTGAAATAGCCTCTGTAGTTGCCAAGGAGCATGCTTTGGGTTAGGCAAGTCAACCTTCCCTTGAAGACAACATAATCCAAACTTTGGATGAAGGTTAGAACAATTTTTTTCAAGTCGTTCATTTATCCACATAATAGCTCCACAGTGAACACATGGATATGCTTGGTCGCCTAAATCAATAGGAGCTGAAAAATTAAAGTAATAAAATAAATTATGTCTATATTAAACTTTGATTTTATGGACATTATCAAATGTTTATAGATTGTCTGTCAAAAAAAATTAGACAATTAACATGCTCTAACATTATTTGTCACGTAATAATCAACTAACTTCCATTGTCCATGAAAGAAAATTTAATTGCAAAGTTTGTGTACTCAATGATCTATTAATATTAGCTCATTGCATAAAAATTAACTTGATGAGAATCCCATCTCATGAATGAACCTCCAGAATATATAGTATATTATTGAAAACATTTAACAAAATTGATGCGTACCAAATACCAACTATTAAAGCTTGTACTCAAACACTTACAACTAACAGGGGGTTCAACTCCAAATTGTCTGTGGGTGTTGGATGTAGAGCATGTATGTTGAAGCACTGTAATTCATCCAGATACATTAGTAGGGATGAATAGATATATAACATTAAAATTTCATTCAAAATAAACATCTCAATCATATTTAACTAAGGTAATGTAACCCAATTGTTGAACCATCAAAAGTCAAATAAAGTACAATGCATATTTTAATTCTTTACAAATTTTCACATTATTGGAGCATGAAATTTTCACATTAATTCTTTACAAATTTTCACATTATAGGAAAGGACAACCCCATGATCTCAAAGCAAGACTACACGTTTAGCAAGAAAAGGCATGGAGAAGTGGGAAAAGTGGGGTGGAGATATGGGGTGGGATAGTTATAAGAAAAACCTCAGACGATATTTCAGTTTTTACGCTCTTAAAATGTTTTCCTAATTTGTTGTCTTCCTTTATTAAGTTAAACGAATTTAATTCAATTTTTATTTGTTTATTTATATTAATTTGCTATTTAAATGATAGAATATTGAATAACTAACCATATCTAAAAAGGAATCGTGGAGTTAGGAAATTATTAGATTACGGGCTAAGAAGTTACCAAAATAAATAATCTAAATAACTATCTATATTTAAATTTAATTATATGCATGAATAAAAAAGAAAATTAAGAATTTAATAAATAAGAATTTCATTTTATTGTTTACATGTTTGCACGAGATGACAATTAAAATATCAAAAAAAAAATATGTTGTTATATTTATTTTAAATATTATAATTTAACTTAATATCCATTAATTACTCAATCCATAAATCATATATATTTAATTAAATTATAAATGAGAATTATATTAATTAATAACATATAAAGAATTTAATGTAATTATTTTATTAAGTCATATGTTTATAATTCAGTTTTTATTTGTTTAATTATATTAATTTGCTATTTGAATGATAGAATATTGAATAACTAATCATATCTAAAAGAGGAATCGTGGAGTTAGAAAATTATTAGATTACGGGCTAAGAAGTTACCGGAATAAATAATCAAAATAACTATCCATATTTAAATTTAATTATATACATGAATTAAAAAAATAAAAAAATTAAGAATTTCATAAATAAGAACTTCATTTTATTGTTTACATGTTTGCACGAGATGACAATTAAAATATCAAGAAAATTATGTTGTTATATTTATTTTAAATATTATAATTTAACTTAATATCCATTAATTACTCAATTCATAAATCATATATATTTAATTAAATTATAAATGAGAATTATATTAATTAATAATGTATAAGAATTTAATGTAATTATTTTATTAAGTCATACGAATTTAATTCAGTTTTTTTTTTGTTAATTTATATTAATTTTCTATTTAAATGATAGAATATTGAATAACTAACCATATCTAAAGAGGAATCATGGAGTTAGAAAATTATTAGATTACGGGCTAAGAAGTTACCGGAATAAATAATCTAAATAAATATCTATATTTAAATTTAATTATATACATGAATCAAAAAAATAAAGAAAATTAAGAATTTCATAAATAAGAACTTCATTTTATTGTTTACATGTTTGCACGAGATGACAATTAAAATATCAAGAAAATTATGCTGTTATATTTATTTTAAATATTATAATTTAACTTAATATCCATTAATTACTCAATTCATAAATCATATATATTTAATTAAATTATAAATGAGAATTATATTAATTAATAATGTATAAAGAATTTAATGTAATTATTTTATTAAGTCATACGAATTTAATTCAGTTTTTTTTTTGTTAATTTATATTAATTTTCTATTTGAATGATAGAATATTGAATAACTAACCATATCTAAAGAGGAATCGTGGAGTTAGAAAATTATTAGATTACGGGCTAAGAAGTTACCGGAATAAATAATCTAAATAAATATCTATATTTAAATTTAATTATATACATGAATCAAAAAAATAAAGAAAATTAAGAATTTCATAAATAAGAATTTTATTTTATTGTTTACATGTTTGCACGAGATAACAATTAAAATATCAAGAAAATTATGTTGTTATATTTATTTTAAATATTATAATTTAAATTAATATCCATTAATTACTCAATTCATAAATCATATATATTTAATTAAATTATAAATGAGAATTATATTAATTAATAATGTATAAAGAATTTAATTTAATTATTTTATTAAGTCATACGAATTTAATTCAGTTTTTATTTGTTTATTTATATTAATTTACTATTTGAATGATAGAATATTGAATAACTAACCATATCTAAAAGAGGAATCGTGGAATTAGGAAATTATTAGATCATGGGTTAAGAAGTTACTGAAATAAAAGAATAAAAATAAATTATATTCATGAATTAAAAATAATTTTATAATAAAAATCTTACGTGACTTTTTAAAATTTTACTATTTAAAAAAATGACACTTGTCATTCATAGAGATACGCTTGTTATTCTTCTATTATATATATATAGATGTACCTTTAAATAATAATAAAAAATAATACTCTGTGATCTATGAACGAAATTTCCGGAATTTGTAACGCATCACAATTTTCATTGATTTTATATTAATAGTATTTTACATGTCAGTTTATTTGTTGATGATTCGATTAATTAGAAATAAAATAAAAAATTATTCTTGCAATAAATTTTTAGATGTCTTTTCATTGTTATACGTATACTCTAAATCTCACTTCATTCGTTCAAAATATAACATATTTTTTAAGGAGTTGAATGTTAAAAAATGTAAAACATTTTTAATCTTTTGAGATGTAATCATTACATTTTTTTAAAGTATCATTATTAATAATAACTTTATATTTATTATAAGATATTTAATAGAGGTAAATATGAAAAATAGGGTTAGTTTGAAATAGATAATTAATTTATTGATGGTGATATTTTGTTAAAAATACCTTACATTTTGTAATGAAAGAAGTAATAGCTTGGGTTCAAATTATTATTATGTCAATATTGATAAATAAAAGTACAAAAGGTAATTCCATCAAACTGCAAGTAATAAATAATATTCCCTCCATTTAAAAATATAAGATATTTTTAATAACTAAATACCACCTCAATAAAGTAGCTACTTACTTTCAAATTAATTCCTTCTTTTTATATTTATCACTATTAAATACTTTACAATAAATATAAAATCATTATCAATAGAGGTACTTTTAAAAAAAAACAATAATTATACTTTAAAAGACTGAAAATACATTACATTTTTTAACATCCAACTTTTTAAAAAATATCTTATATTTTTGAATCGATAAGGTATTGTTTATTTTAAGTTTCATATAAATGTATGTGATCTAGCTACAATAAATTTTTAGAAAAAAATAATGTAAATTTTTTCATTTATTAATTTATATATATGTATAATAAGAAAAAATGAATTCTCATATATGTGCATTTTTTAAATCTAATCACTTATAAATAAATTAATATTGAAATTAGAAACTGTCAATTATATAATCTAGATACACACACACGCGAAATTAACAAAATAATAATGGATAAAATATTTTTGTCATTACATCATTACATTTTATATAAAAGTGTTTTACATTATATTTTTAAAAATTAAAAACAATGATAATGACAAGAAATTATTTATATATTTACGAAAATATTAGTATAACAAAGGAACATTTTTTTTTTTCCTTGTGTAGAGAACAACACATTTGTTCTACCAAAAAAAAAAAATAGAGAGAGAGAGAGAACAGAAGTTTAATTTGTAACCACGTTCATTAATGATATATATTGTCTTTGTCGCAACAAAAAAATAAAAAAGATATATATTGACTTGCACATGAGAGAGAGAGCACGCGCCCATCTCCACCAATTATCTCTATTTTGTTTCAAGGAAATATGCCATTTAAAAATCATTTAAAATCTTTAATTACAATTAAGAATTCTATAAGTGTCAAAGACTGACAGACTTTTTTTTTATGAAAAATAGAATTATTTTAAAGGGACAGAAATACCATCCTGTCCACGTC